AACATATATTATTATATTACAGTAATCAACCCCCACACCCCCCCACCACCACAAGAAAACCCATTTTATTTTGGAAAAAAAATTTGTGGTTAGGTAATTTAATAATATTATATTTAATTTGTTGAATTTTATTTCCCCCCAACCCCCCCACTCCACCACAGGAAATCTCATTTTATTTTGAAAAAAAAATTGGGGGTTAGGTAATTTAATAATAGGATAAATTACAGTAAACCCCTCAATCTATAGGGTGATTTACGAGTCCATATTTGATTTTAGGGACTTTTATGAGTACATATTTAACGTCGCAAAAAACTTACAATTTGCTCCATCCGTTAGCGAGATAGTTAGAAAATTCGTTATCTGCCTACATGTGGGACCCATTTTTTAATTGAGTGGGATTCCACGTGAACAAAAAATTAATAAAAAATTTATTGTTTAAATTATTTTTAAAATTTTTAATTAAAATTAAAATTAAAAACCTTACCCAGATTCTCTCTCTCTCTCTCTCTCTCTCTCTCTCTCTCCTCCCAATTCCTTTCCCCCCCAGATTTCTTCCCCCCCCCAATTTCTTCAACCCCATATCAGATTTCTTCCCCCCGATTTCTTCAACCCCAGATTTTTTTCCCCTACCCAAGCAGAAAACAAAATCGTTTCGCTTTTTTTGTTCGCACTAAAAATCAAAACTTCGAAGTCTACAGACTCTCCCATGGCTGAAACTACAAAGAAGCCACCCAAGGATATTGAAAACGATGACGAAGAGGAGCAGACGTTCGAAAGCCTCAGATTGGACGGTCGTCTTATTCGCGCCCTAAACAAGAAGAAAATTTCTTGTTCAGATCAAGCGAAGCCACATAAAGCTCCTCCTTTGATTGAACAAAGCCTGAAATTGGGGCTTTTTAGTGTTCTGCACCTATCCTTTTTTATTCTCCGTTTATGAAACCCTTGTTTGTTTTAATAAAACAGGATTTGGCTCAGGATCGCCCATTTTTAATTCCAGGGTTTCTCTGAATTTGAAAGTTCTCACTTGGTAGGTTTCCATACCAAGGCTCAATCCAATTAAGTCCGTAGCGTCTACCAATTTCGCCATATCCCCTTTTTTTTTTTGTGATGTGATTAGGATCACATTATGATGCCGTCACCCTTTTTTCTTTCATTTATATTATGCTGGAACCGTTGAATTCATTAGATACCGGTTCCTATATTGAAAAGTGTTTTCTACTATTTGATTTCTTGTCTATTTTCTTTGATCTCTATCGGAGACCAGTATTTGGTCCAATCAGAAATGATTCTATCATTTCTATATCACATTTCTATATCAGAAATTCAATATAGATATATACCGCATAACATATATATTATACTATATATAATATATTTATTATACTTAGATATGCCCCTATTTCTATCCGTGCAATTTTGAATACTTGAACGGTCGATTCTTTTTTTTTTTCATCTTAGCTTTCGCCTTTTCGAATGAAACCAGAGGAGTGTTTCATTATGATCTGAATTACACTTTTATCTTTCATTTTATTCTTATCCTTTTCTTAGGGCAGACCCTCTATAACATAACAAAAAAAAAGGAAAATTTGAATTAATTTAAAATTTAATTACTAGCCATAACTAATAAAATGGCTATAAACAATCATTCCGTTAATTTATAATTAGAATATAATTCTAAATAAAATATATAAAAAAATTAAAATATATTTCATATATAATATATATGAAATATAATAAAATATCAAAAAAACATAGTACTATAGAATAGTAAAAAAAAAATCTTACTATTTAATTAAGCTAATTAAGATATTAATTATCGATAAACATATATTTGAGAAATAGATCGAAATTTAATATTCAAATATCCAATATTTTTGGAAATATTCTTTATATATATATTTTATATATTTATTTTTATTATTTTTATATAAATAATATTTCTTATGAAATAGCTAAGAATGAACAATTAATATCTCAGTAGTTTACTAAATTAGTATATGTGTACAATTTATGTTATGCGAGCCCGCTTAGCTCAGAGGTTAGAGCATCGCATTTGTAATGCGATGGTCATCGGTTCGATTCCGATAGCCGGCTTTTCTCCATTTGTTTGATTTTTTACATAATTTAATTGATAATGTGAAATCAAAGTGAAAAACTTCTTTCCCTTTTCCCAAGGGTCACTGATCTATTTCTATTATTTCGTAGGAACTTCCAATTATGAATAAAAATTGGATTGGAGGAGTTCGGTCTCTGTAGAACAAATCAATTAAGATAAGAAAAGAACCCTAAATTTTTATTATTTTAAATTCTTTTTATTTATATAATACAATTATTTATATACAATAAGGTACGGATATTGATACAATTCCTCTAATTATTTATTCTTTGTAATACTTCAGTAAATTTCGCTTAATTTATCATATTTTAGTTTAGTTTTAATTTTGTTTTATGAAATTTCATAAAAAATAAGGAGTCTTTATGTCGCGTTACAGAGGACCTCGTTTCAAAAAAATCCGTCGTCTGGGGGCTTTACCGGGGCTAACTAGTAAAAAGCCTAGAGCCGGAAGCGATCTTAGAAACCAATCGCGCCCCGGCAAAAAATCTCAATATCGTATTCGTTTAGAAGAAAAACAAAAATTGCGCTTTCATTATGGTCTTACAGAACAACAATTACTTAAATACGTTCGGATCGCCGGAAAAGCCAAAGGGTCAACAGGTCAGGTTTTACTACAATTACTTGAAATGCGTTTAGATAACATCCTTTTTCGATTAGGTATGGCTTCGACTATTCCTCAAGCCCGCCAATTAGTTAACCACAGACATATTTTAGTTAATGGTCGTATAGTAGATATACCAAGTTATCGCTGCAAACCCCGAGATATTATTACAGTGAGGGATGAGCAAAAATCCAGGGCTCTGATTCAAAATTATCTTGATTCACCCCCCCGTGAGGAATTACCAAAACATTTGACTCTTCACCCATTCCAATATGAAGGATTAGTCAATCAAATAATAGATAGTAAATGGGTCGGTTTGAAAATAAACGAATTGCTAGTTGTAGAATATTACTCTCGTCAGACTTAACCATAACTAAAATAACAAGGGTTCGGGCAATTTTGCCCCCTTCATTTTGGCTTAAGTAAAGGGACCCGGGGTAAGTAAGGTAAGGGGTTTCATCTGGGGATTTTTCTCTTATTCATGTATCATAGATCGGTAGGGTATTTTCATTCCTTGTCGATTTTGTCCAGTATTTTTCGTACCACAGAAATTCGGGGTAGGAATAGATAATCTATATCAAAGAAAGGTCTAACTGTTGGAGTATCCATTCTTATTTGATGCATTGCAGTCAGTAACATTGGTGAATTAGTTGACGAGTACGGAAAGAGAGGGATTCGAACCCTCGGTAAACAAAAGTCTACATAGCAGTTCCAATGCTACGCCTTGAACCACTCGGCCATCTCTCCTACATAATGATTATGGCCCAAAAACCGAGTGAATAGTGAGTCATTCATATTATTTTGGATAGGTATTATGTACATTCAATTTTAACTCTAAAAATAGAAAACTTTTCATCAAAGAAAAATACTTCCTCCGAGGCTGGGGATAAAGATAAATCCTTTTGGGAAAAATTGTAAAATAAGGATATATATCTATTCATGTTTGCGAAGATGGTGTTTCCGCCCTTTCTAATATTTATACCGGATTAAATCACTCAATTGAAACGAATCCAATGATCGATATATTTTTTTTAGACTGTGTTTAATGGATACCTTTAAATCATGATTCTATTTAGTTTACACTATTATTCAATTTTCATAAAAATTATAAAATTTCTTTCCAGTTTTAGATTTTTCAACAACAACTCTTTACTCCAACTTCTTAACCCATAAATTTATTCCAAATTCATGAACCGCCCCCGGATTTTTTTTATTGATTCCTGTCAAAAAGAAACAATTTGAGTAAAAGGTCTTCCTTTTTAATGAATCCGTTTTTATGTTATTTCGTACTGCACAATTCCTTTGTTTGTGGGATCATTTTCTCACGAAAGGGAATTAAAATAAATTATAGAATGGATTAATACACCTATGTCTAGATCTGGGATAAATGGAAATTTTATTGATAAAACCTTTTCAATTGTAGCCAATATCTTATTACGAATAATTCCGACAACTTCGGGAGAAAAAGAGGCATTCACCTATTACAGAGATGGTGCGATTTGATTATTTTTTTATTTTTTTTATTTTTACCGCTCTCGGTCTTAAGAGAAAGACAACATTATTCGGGATAGGAAGAAAAAAATTATGGAAATAAATCTACGCTTGTTGAAGGTGAAGTTTGTAAATAAAACAACGCCTTCTGTCGTGTATCCCCGATTAATGCAGCCTCAGATGCTTCAATTGTCGATTCTAGAGTATTGAGCGAAAGGTTACACCTATGGGTTAGGTCAACCCTACTCCACTAGTACCAATAGGGTGCATAGGGGAAGAAGCACTACTCCTAGGAATCAACACACGAAAACTTTGTTATAAATTATCCATTTTCCTTATCAGGATCGGGACTAACAATGGTTGGGACAACAAACATCCATCTCGTTCGTATTTTGGATACCCGTATAACCATCGAAGACTGTTGAAGTGACTAATTCCTGCAAATTTAAGGGCGTTGAAGACAAAGAAATTGTTGGAGTAACTTTTTTTTATCTAATACCAACATGCTTGATGTTAAGGAAAGATCTTCTACAAGAAGGTTGGCTAGAGATTTCTTGTAAAAACACCAGCCCCGCTTAGTTTATAATGAGAATATTTCAGTCTTTTTGATTCCATGTATTATTATCATTATGCACATAAAGGAGGAGCCGTATGAGATGAAAATCTCATGTACGGTTCTGAAACGGAGATTCTTTGAATCGAATGACGACCGTAACGGATGTCGGCTCAATCCGAAGGAAATTATGCGGAAGCTTTACAGAATTATTATGAAGCTATGCGACTAGAAATTGATCCTTATGATCGAAGTTATATACTCTATAACATAGGCCTTATCCACACAAGTAACGGGGAACATACGAAAGCTTTGGAATATTATTTTCGGGCCCTAGAGCGAAACCCATTCTTACCACAAGCTTTTAATAATATGGCCGTGATCTGTCATTACGTGCGACTATCTCCACTATAGAAATAAAAAAAGGAAAGAAAGAAAAAATCCGTTAACGTTAATAAATACTAGAAACAAAGAGTAGGCTTTCTACATATGTATCGTTCAAAACAACGATTTTTATCAGCTGTAGCAAAGAAATAAACTTCATAAAAGTCGAAATATGAATATGAAGAAATAGGTATGCCTAGATACTTTACTTTTATTCTATGGATAAAGGATCTAATTGATAGAGGAAGCGCCGTAAAGATCAATTCGCGAGGTTTTGGTCCGATACAATAAGAACTGCTTACTTATGTCATGATATGAGATAAAAGTTAGGAATCCACTTATGTAATAGAGTCGATCCCCTAAGGTATTGAGCAGCGGTGTAGCATCAGATCCCAAAGATGGTAAGTCTTTTCCTTCTTATGAAGGAAGGCCTTTTTCAAAGATTCTATATAAATTTATATATGAAACCGAGATAGTTACCTTTCAGAAAATTCGAATAATAGTGAAAACGCTTATGCTTTATTTTTCTGAAGGTGGGAGAAAAGATAAAACTGATTATTAATAAAAATTTTAGTTTGAAACTCATGTAATTAACCTCTTTCTTTTGGTTAACTCGAGAAAAAAAAAATGGGATATATCTCTGAGAAATCTCATTTAATTAGTATAGGGTAATGAAAAAATAGGACACCAAAAGAATTTGACCCCTGAGCCGTATGAGGTCGGAAACTCTCAAGTACGGTTCTAAGGGAAGGGATTTACCCCCCTATTCCGACCGGGGAGAACAGGCCGTTCAACAAGGGTATTCCGAAATTGCGGAGGCTTGGTTCGATCAAGCCGCCGAGTATTGGAAACAAGCTATAGCGCTTACTCCTGGTAATTATATTGAAGCACAGAATTGGTTGAAGATTACGAGGCGCTTCGAATAAGAAGACTATTATTACTATTATTATTTAATTTATAATTTAGATATTTCGTTTTATATATTTTTTATATTTGTTATAATTAATTATAATAATTAATTATAAAATTAATTATTTGTTGTCCCTATTGATCAAATAACTAAAACGGAGCATTTCTCTGGGAAGAACCAATCAAAGAATTTCATTATATCCCTTCTAAAATAATTCTATTTCGTCTGGTATTTCGTAGGAATAAACGATATATAGAGAATACATTTTTTCTGCTATTAAAACTAATAAAAGAGACCTTCGAATGACTAAATACTGAGATGTCTCTTAGTAATGAAAGGGGGCAAATTGTAGGTTTTTCGCGACGTTGAGTGTGTACTCATAAATGTCCTCAAAATCGGATATGGACTCGTCAATGACCCTATAGGTTGGGGGGTTTACTGTAGTTTACCCTTAATAATATTATATTTAATTTGTTGAATTTTATTTATATTCAAGAATATGAGTCATCTGGATAATAATGCAAGTACTAATGTTAATCTTACTACTGAGAATAATGAAATCAAGGTAGATGATCATGCTTTATTGTAGAAGTATGTTAAAATGCTTGACAAGTTAGGAAAAGGAGCAAAAACTATGTTTGAATCAATTATTATCATAATACTTACAAAGACTCCTATTCTAGAGTCAAATTTCATTTGTTGAAAATGTCGGGAAATGGAATTGCATCTTGCAAAAAGGTTATTGATGAAGTTTTTTCAAAAATTAAAAAACTTGTGAGAGAATGTGAATATCGATTAAAAAGTGCAGCTCTAAGACAAGTGTCTTTGCCTAATACGGGTTCTGCCTAATATTGCGTGCAGAGGGGAGACGAAACCCATTTTGGAATGGGAGGGATATGGGCTATCATTTTGGAAAATGTAGGAAGGGCGTTATGGGAAAAATGAAAAAATCATTAAAAGGAGCCAGCTGTTTTTTTTCAAAGTAGCTTTGAGAAGTTGGGTCCAACCTGCTTTGAAAAATTGCTTCGGATGACTCGAGATTTTAAAATAAGATGACTTGATTTCTTTCACCAAACACTTTCAGTTGTAAAAATTATTTTTAAAGCCGCTTATTTTTTAAGCACGGCCACCTAAGACTCGTATGATTAACTCTTTAGTTATAATTTAAGCAAAAATTATGATATTCTTGTTATAATTAATAATTAAAGAGTATTTTAGGAATAATGGCGAGTGGAAAGATAGAATTGTGTTTTTTCAAATTTATATGATAAGTGGGAAAATAGGATATATAAAGGTCTTTTATTGCTCAAAATTATTGTAGCAATGTGGTCTTTTATTGCACAAACACATAGGGAATTAGGTTCTTACTTGGGTCCGCATGAGATTTTACATAGGAAGTAGCTAGCTAGGAAAGACCCTGAGAGAAGTAGAAACTATACAAACAGTAGAGACAGGGCTTTTATATTATGTTCTAAAGAGGTCTGGTAAGGTCTGAATTTTTTGTTGCTCCTTGCCATAAACTGCTGCAGATACAGGGATTTTTATAACAGAACAAGAACATCCTAGAATATGGGAGTAAATGCTAACCACCAACTACTATCTGAGAGAAAACTTAATTACCAGCTGCTATCTTAAACACAAGAGGAATGCTAATCAAAGTAGCTCAAAAGCGACTGTTATCATAATCTCCGCATGAGTTTTTATTATTATTGAACTTTCACATTGGAGTTACAAAATTAATTAGTTCATTACATGGATTCGACGAGAAGTACCATCAACATCAAGACTGAATTATTGAATATGGACAACATTCTACTGCCTTCCCGCTTTGTTGTCAACACTGCATGCATGGACCCAACACTCTCTCTGTCTCTCTCCATAGGGCATCGCTTGAAAATTGGGTTTTTGTTTTTGGCTATCTTTCGAGCGTAAGTTTGGAAATTGTATTGTGCAAGTTTAATTGGGCATCACTTTCTTTCACTTACTTCCTTTACTTGGTTTGATTTCTAGCCTTTGTTTTCTTTGTGGCTGGATGGTCACCCTTTCATTTCCTTGTGTGGTTTGGGGTCCTTGTTATGTATTATCTCTTATCTTTCTGTGATGTAAGGTCATCTTCAAGTGGGGAGGGCTATATTTAGCCCTTTAATAAATGATTTTATAAGGAATAGTGTGAGGTTACATTTTAATCATCTCCAGCAACAAAGGGCTAAATTTAATATTTTAATAGTTTTAGTATATTATGTAAATTTATTAGTTAATTTAATTAAACTACTATTTATATCATATTTAAAATACATTTTAGAAGATAAAATTATTTTGGGATAGAATTTTTGACATTCACGTGTTGGCACGTGATTAGCCCCATAGATTTCTTATTATTATTTTTTTCCTTGTTTCAGTCATTCTCTTGTTTTAAAAACAACTTAAAAATTAAATTAAATGGAAAAAGATGAAGGATAGTTTGTAAAAGAATGAAGAGAATGTGAGAAATTATGTAAAAATATGAAATTGATGAAGGATAATATGTAAAATGATGAAGATCTTGTGCGAAATTATGTAAGAATCAAGTAGGTATTTATACAAAAAATTTAGGAATTTTTTAGAATTTTCTTTTTTAAGAATCTTGACATGACCTTTGCTTGATGCTAAATGGATGGAAAGATGCCACGATGATCCACTTGATGAGAATCGGAGAGGTGTCTTTCTAATAAGAAACGAACCCCGTCCAGATAACCAATTGATGCTGCACAATGTATGGTTTAGGGGTCCTTTGTTTCCGCGGCCTAGAATTGCACCGTGCAATGAGGACTTGCCAATGACAGGAATTTTTTCCTTACTTGTTTCTTCTTGCATTAGCTTCACAATCTCAGCAAACCCTTTCTCAGTGGCCAGATACAAAGAGGACTTTCCTTCCGTATTACAATCAAAATGAATGAAACGATGGGCCTCTATCAAACACTTTGCTAAAGAGGTCTATCAAACACTTTACCATGAATTTTCTTACTTTTCCAATTTCAACACTCAATATCGGAGAAAAAAAATCCCAACATGCATTTCATATCTTATTTCTTCTTTCTCTTTGTTCTTATTGGTAACTCTATATTATACTATTTTTTTTATTTAGTTTTTAAAAATCTATCTATAGTTGAGATGAAGAAGATGACGAAAATAGTTGTGGGAGCAAATATTTCCGTCTCCAATCAGGGCACGCCACGTGGAAAAGAAGATTATCTCTTAAATTAATTAATTGAACCAGTTTATCTGGCCAATTAATTAATTGGGATAAATATCTTAATTAATGGGATATTATCTTTATTTAATGAGATAATACCATTAATTAAGATATTATCCTAATAAAGAGAAGATAATATCATTAATTCAGATATTATCTTCATAAAAAGAGATAATATCGTTTAATTCAGATATTATCTTCAATAAAGAGAAGATAATATCATTAAATCAGATATTATCTAAGTCCGACTCGATCTCTACGAAACCCTAGCCCGAGGCTCCTATAAATAGACTGCTTCATTCATCATTCAAGGAACATCTAAACCTACTCCTTATACCCGAGAAAAATACCCGAAGCTCTTTCTCCCTCTCCACTCTCCATATTTTCTCTACACGCGTCCGGCCCCGGCCACCACACACGGCTCCGGCCGCCCGGTTCACATTCTACATAAACACTACTTCGTACCCTTTGCTTACCTGACCTGCAGTCGGATCTAGCAACCTCCGTGGCACCGCCACCGAGCATGGTGGAACCTCCAACCGAGAAGATCAACCCTTGCAAACCAACGAGGAAGTTACTCGGTCTCACCCAAATCATAAAGGTCATCAACGTGACCGACTAGCCATGTGTGCGGAAGACGTTGAGAAGCTTGTGAATAACCGACTGCAATTGGGCTCCACACACTTCTCTCCTCCCGATCCACGAAGTCAAGCAGATCTTAATATGAGAGTTAACCAGCTAGGTCAGAGGATGGACAACCAAACCAATCTGATGAGGCAGCTTCTCTACCAAATAAACTTGGTTCAAAACCTTGGCCTTGGACAACCGAGCGAAGAGAGAATGATGGATGAACGCACCTATCGGCAGGTCGCTGGGGGTCATGAAGAGAGGTGCTCCGCTACCCGCTCGCAGAGAAATATTCACGAAAGGCTAGGCCCCCAAGGAGGTCAACTTGGTAACCCGCACAATGAAGACCGTGAAGAAAGGCATTCCACTGACCGCTCTAGAAGAACCAATTCTCATCGCCAAGTTACAGAAAATTCCTCGCAAGCATGGTCCACCAACACGCCGCCTAGGCAGCACAACCGAGAAGATCAACCCTTGCAAACCAACGAGGAAGTTACTCGGTCTCACCCAAATCATAAAGGTCATCAACGTGACCGCCTA